CGGATTTACTGGTAATGGATACACTAAAGTACCATTGTGTTTCCGCGAATAAGCGTTCACAACATTTACTGCATATCCGACAATCTGTATGTGTTTAGTATCATTGCGATAAACTATCGATCGCGGTTCATTTTGATCGGGTAAAGTACGAATTGGTGCACCTTGTAGATCATTCATACGATTGGGAAAGTATTTCTCTGCTTGGTTTATTGTTACCAAATGAAATGATGGAAAATTCGAATAAGCATGATATAGTTTATTATAATTAAAGTCATTATAAATGCTGATAACATGTTGCAAATAATTTTTAGAGCAAAGCGTAAACAACTGCAATAACTCACGGTTTGAATCTTGTTTTCTGTACGGCTGGGACCAGTAGAAAATAGTCCTTATGCTGTGCAATCGTCCAATACACTTCGAGAACATTTCTATGTAGTTAGGATCTATGGATTTCTGTATACAAAATAACATTAATATTTCATTATTCCAGCTAGTTTTGTTAAGATTGCATGTTCCGATTTCTGTAAAGACTACAATTGGTGTATTAATTCCTTTAATGACGTTCTCATCGACACATATTTTCTTATCGTTTGTTGCCACCAAAAGTGTCCTGAAATTTTTTTCCAGTTTTATATTTTTTATAAATTGTAGTAAGTCTGCATGATTTGTTATTTCTGCTGGCTTTATGGTTAGCGCTGGCTTAATTAAAACTATTAACAAAAATGCAACCAAAGTGTGGTTCCTGTTTGAAATCATTGTGAACACTCATAGGCCTTAAAAAATTGTTCATCATCGTTTTGAGATTATTAGTTCTATAGTTAATGGCGGTAAATTATTATGAAACATTAAATAAAATTAATCGTTAAGACACTTATATATGAATAAGTTACTCATAAAGGTTATGCTTTTAAAAATTATACGATTGCTTTCCTTAATAGAACAGTTGAGTTAATTCGTACACTGATAAAAATATTGACTTCTTTAAGTAAAATTATTTAATATAAAATAATACTGCACTTTTTGCTTTTATTGCAGTTATTGCATTTAAACTCATTGATAAAAATAAATGCAAGTATAGAATGGTATGGAAAGATAGTCACTATACTGTCCTTCAGTAAAGAAATCGGAACTGGAGAAACACTCTTATGCGATTAAGGGGCACTATAGGTCTTTTAGGTCGCAGTGCACTATCCCTTTTCAAATAATAATAATAATAATAATAGAATAGTATTAATAAATGAGATCTATGTTTTATACTTGAACAATTTTTTAACATTAAAAATATTACAAATTCCAAATTAAAATACCAAAAGTCAACTACGGCATTTTTTTAGGTGTATAAAATGTAAGTCTTAGTAAAAACTTCTAAAAAGTCTAAGTAGAATAAGTTCATATAAGTAAGTAAAATAAGTGTTAATAAGTCAGAGTTTAAGTTTGACCCTTATTACTTGCAGTGTAAGAGGTTTCTGAAGACTGCTAGTTATAGATCTATGACAAAAATATGCAATATATAAAGGCAATAACTATGCCTCTCGTTTATATACTGGATATTTTAATCTAAGTCTATATCATTTTCTAAACACTTTTATTGATACTCATACTAATTCTACTAATATTTCGCGTGTACTTTAGAGGTATACAGTAAAAAGCGAGAACTTTATCAACTTTTGTTGTTAAGTTTCACTATCGTTTATAGAAATTTTATGTAAAAACACTTATTAATATTTTTTTAGTGTATTATCATGATTAAGATTAATTTTACATCCTCAAATATGTTCAAGTGATTAATTTTGTTGTGAAACAAATGAAAATACTAATGGTACTCAAAAATTTTTTATATCTGAGTTTTTTATTATTATGAAGTGATTGATTATTGAAAATCCTTATGATTACTGAAGTAGCTTGCATTTGTAACCTCTATGAAATAACACAATTCTTAAGTAATGAAATGCATTATAAAATGTTATATATGTCATCACAATAAATTATATTTCATTACATTAAGTACATTACAAATATTTTAATCATTACATCATTATATTTTATATAATTATTATTTTTGACTTCCAGAAAAACATCAAAAATCAAAAATCAGTATTTGTTGTTTTTTAAATAATAATTTTAATACATTTATTGGTGTTTTTTGATTTTTAAAATTATTAAAATTGTTAAAATACTTAGTCTTTTTTTCTAGAAAAAAAAATTATTTAACCCCTCCTATGCTGAAGAATCTAGAATTAGAAGTTTACATTGTGACCGAAAAGCTTCCGGAAATTTTAAATAAAACGCAAAATTCTTAATCTTCATCAATATTTATTTTATCTCCTTCAAAATATGCTCATACATTACATTTTTTATAGGCGCTTTCCGGTATGGCTTTGAGTTCCCTCTGCGAATTCTGTTTTACGTCTTCTATGGATTCAAAACGCGTTCCTCTGAGTGGTAATTTGAGGTTGGGAAACAGGAAAAAGTCACACGGTGCAAGATCAGGTGAATACGGTGGCTGTTCGATGGTATTTATTGAATGTTTGGCCTTAAAATCGTTGATAATGTTGAACAAATTGAGGTGAATCGGAACAAGCCGGGCGTTGACACGTCGCATACACAAATTGTCCACCAAAATCAAACGAGCCATCTCACGACCGATGCCTAGCTCTCGTGCTATCTCTCTAACACTCACATGAGGATTTTTGAACACGATTTCCTTTGCCTTTTCAATGTTTTCGTCGGTGGTAGAGGTCGAAGGTCGTCCAGAACGCGGCATGTCTTCGACGGTCGTACGACAGTCCTGAAAGGCTTTGTACCACTCATAAACTTGAGTTTTCGATAAAACTGATTCCCCATAAGCCTTTTGTAGCATTCGCAACGATTCTGCACACGAAATTTCGTTCGAAAAACAAAATTTGATGCAAACTCTTTGTTCAATATTTTTTTCCATTGTTTTTTTCGCAACGCACTACTGAGGTGAACTGGTTTCAACAGCTGCCGTAAACGAACTGTCCGACAGATCGCGCTCATTTTTGGCATAGTAATTAAGGACAGTGCTGCCAAACTACATAAACTTAAAATATCGAAAAATATACAGCGCGCGAATTTTAAATGAGAACCTCCGAAAACCTTTCGGTCACAATGTAGCTAATGGGTCTTTGTATTTAAATAAGTTATTTAGTGCGGAACCAGTATAAAACCATTAGCACAAAGCTGATAACAAAAAGATAATCAAAGTCTGGCAGCATTAATTAAGCTTAATGGATCAAATTTTCATCTTTAAGCCTCTGTTTAAACAGAACCAAATCGGGTCATGGTAGCAGGTGTAGGAAAATGAATCATAAAGAAAAGTGTTAGATGGGCCTGATCTCGATCGCATAAAGATAAGTACTACAAGATATCAGAGTACCATAAAAAATAGTTGTCACCATATGTTTGGTGATATTTTAAAGGTAATATCTATTAAAAAATTTAAACGACTGGTATAACTTTTGATTAAACGATTAAATTATATCCTTACGGGCAGCAATAAATGTTAAAAAACAAAAATAAGAGCAAAGTCGATCATACGAACGAGGTAGGTTTTGTCTTTCATTATGATAATACAATAAACCAGTAACGCGGTTTTGTTTCTTTTATGGAGTAGTTATAGGAGTCCACTACGCTGTTGTGGACAGTGCACAGAAGCAAAATGAAAATGTTTGGCAAAATTGCAACAAGGTAGATATATGTATACATACTTTATAGGTATATATACATACATATATAGAATACTGTTTGAGATTCGTTGCATATTTGTACGGAACTGACATATACCGGAATTTAACGTTTGATATGATGGGCACCAAAAGACTCTACCTCCGCACTGTAGAACATTATATCTGAAATGTTGATGCATGCACCGTATATAATTAACGTTTTAACATCAGATTAGCATTTATTTGGATCTTTACAACATTTATTCCTTGAGAATAATTAGTTTTACATAAGGACTTTGTTAAGTATTTATGTCAGTTTTCCAAAACAACAATTCAGAAACTTGACCAAAAGAAGTATTAGTTCTTACTAATAAAAGAAGATGTAACTAAGGGAGATTTAAAAAACTGTTTTTAAAAAATAAATAAATTTTAAGGTTAGTTTTATAGTCAAGACTTAAATCTCGAAACTGACACAAAACCTACATTAAGTTAACAAAGTTGATGACTTAGTTATGATGACTACATCATAACTACTATATACTTCTACATAACTACTAAGTATCTTAAGTTTCAAAACTGACTCTATCACTTAAGCAAAGTTTACGACTTAAGCATGTCCGAGTCAGAATTGAGACTTAGGTAAGTTAGTACTGTGAAATCTTTGATGTTATCTCCACAACCAATTATTTACATTCCGAAAAAAGCTATATATATTGACATACTTTTAAAGTTTATTAGAAGTTGATTTAAGTATTGAAATTTAATTATATTGGTTCTCATTTTATGTATTGTTGTATTATACATATACATGGAAGGCAAATAGATATACATCTATATATATATATATTTGTGCATGGCAAAAATATCGAACTGCATCTAAATAGTAATTAAGTATGTACATTGACTAAGTGAGTACTTAACTTATATGTGGTAATTAATTAAAACTTTGTTACTTAAAGTAAATACATAGCGCAAAAAAGACATACTCTTTAAGGTTTTAATGAGTTTTTAACAATTAAAGAAGACAAATGATGTAGGGACATCCAACGAATTCAGTTGATTTTATCTTTACAAATGAACGAAATACTCAATAAAATAATAGATTAATGAAGCCAACTAATTATTAATGATTTTAGTTTATTTTTTTAATGCCAGTATAGGTATGCTATTTTTCAAGACCTTCCTTTTTATTTACATGGAACATATCGAATAGTAAATAAAATCATTTCAATAAGAATGCAGTTCAAAATTTATATCGTCTTTTGCATTTTTATGCATTTAACTAAAACGCATTTACTTATCGCAGATAACAAAATGTACTTAGGAAATTGGTTCAGAAAATGGTTTGACAAAATTCACGCCGAACAAAATTTCGAAACAGCGCTGATTTTACGAAATAAGACTACAGACTGTTTTCTGGAAAATTTACCGAATCTAATGTCACATCCGCAGATGCACCTCCGTGGTAACGACTCTTTTATGTGGAAAAATAAATTCAATATGGAAATTTTGACACTCGTTTGTCTGCAAAAATACTTGGATGTAGATATTTTGACAACTTTGGCAAAAATTTTGAACCAGATACGTCATACACGTGTTATATTTCTTCTAAAGGATTTCGTACAAATACAGGATTTACATGACCAACTGATGAAATTCTGCGCGCAGTATGAACTAACTAATGTCATTATTTTATTTGACGAATTAATGAAGGATGAGCTCTTCTACCGTTACTTACCATACCCAACGTATCAAGTAGTACGATCATCATTCAGAAATTTAACAACAATTTATCCAAAACAATGGTTAAATTTTAAGGGAAAAGTCTTCTTGACTCTGCCAGATCAGATAGAACCGCGCTCTGTCATGTATGTGGATCGATATGGCGAGAAAAAATTAAGTGGATTTGTAGCCAAACTTATACAAACATATGCTGAAATATATAATGCTACACTGCAATTTCTCTATCCGGTAGATGTTGGTGAAATTATTCATTTAAATATACTGGAGAAATTTGTAGAGAATCGTAGCCTAGATATACCAATTAGTCTTGCAGGTGTACAAAATTTTAATGCCTTTCACAATGGATCTTATCCAATTGAATTAAGTGAATGGTATGTTATGGTACCTACAACTGGCTTTATGTCGACGGCAGATATATTTCTTATAATTATAGAGAAACACTTTTTTATTGGTCTATTATTTTTAATACTTATACTTTCTGTGCTATTTGTTATAATTGACAGTGATTATCATACGAACTCGAAAGGAAGTCGAATTAAGATAAATTATTTAAACATATTCTTAAATGATAAGGTTGTGCCGGGAATTTTAGGCCAGTCTTATATATTGCATACAACACCGAAACTTGCTTACAAATTTTTGTATATGTCAATTTTTATGTTAGGCTTGATGATGAATACACTTTTCGCAGCTCATTTAAAAACACTTATCACTACTCATCCAAATTTGCCAGAAGTAACAAACTTCGAAGAATTACGAAAAATGAGGATGCGTATGTTATTTGACGAAATTGAAGTAGACACGATAGATAGGATTCTTGGCACCAATTTGCTTGAACCCATAAGAGATCTAATTGATACAGCAGACACTTTAACGTTCCAGAATCAAAGAAAAAGTTTAAATACTTCTCATACATATACAGTAACCACTTCTCTATGGCGTGTATTTGAAGAGCTACAACGTTTCTTCAGTCGTAAGCTTTTCCAAGTACCAAATGCAATGGTTCTTATAAAATTTTCTTTAATGAAAGTGCCTTTACAAGAGAACTCAGTACTCAAGGAATCGTTTGACCATTATTCCGGCTATGCAAAAGCAGCCGGCTTGTTTCAGCATTGGTACTCAAGTACTTTTCAGGACATGTTATCAGCAAAAAAAATTTCTATTAAAGATAAAACAAAACGAAATCACTACAGTATTTTAACTGTAAAGGATTTTAAATGGATCTGGTTGTTACTGGGCTGTGGTCTTATTGCTGGTACTATAGCTTTTCAAATAGAACTACTTTATTATTTTTTTAAAAATAACTTCAAACAGCAACGCATTCGAACATTCAAAGAATGAAAATGATTCGAATTGTAGTGTAGGTAAAAAAATTTTGGAATATACAACCTTCGGAAATTTGAAGGTTTTTGAAATATGTGAAAAAGGGGATAAATAAATAAATTTGATTCAGTTTAATAATATATTTATAAGATCAATTAATTTTTGTTCTATATTGAAATAGTGTAATTAAAATTGTTATTTATATAAATTTTTAAATAAATATTCGTATATATATATATAAGTTTCGTGCAATCTTGTAAAACGTTCCTTCGGTTCTCAATCGCTTCCTTACAAAGCCAGCGGATCTAACTGATCTTGTTAGAGTAAGTTTCCAGTTTTGTAAGGTAATAGATTAATTTATAATGCCTTACCAAAATTTCTATTACAATCTTTAGAATGATTTAGGTTATAATCACGGTTGCCACTTGAAAATTTTTTTCTGTACCAAAATTGGTTTAAAAAGGTACCATTTCTGTAAAAAAAGGTCCAAAATTTTCTATTGTCTTTTTATAAGAAAATACAATTTATATAAAATGTACAAAAAGTATAAAACAATACAATATCCACAATTAAGTTGGGTTGCCGAAAATGTACCATTTTGTGAACATGAGTACCAGAGTACCAAACGGAAAAAAAGTACCAATTTTGGTACTAAAGTACCATAAGTGGCAACCGTGGTTATAATGCGCTATAGGCAATTTTAATTACCCATGGCTCGGGTATATGGTCAAAGTATAACCAACAAGCAGTAGAGAGTTACTCATAACTAACATTGCATTTAATACTCCGCCCTACTACAACTTTTACATGGAAAAAAGTTAATGAAACACAAAACTGTATTATCATGTTCAACCGTGAAAGCATAAAAGTTTATTAGTTTTTACCTATCTTGCTTTATAGTAAATACGAATAATATTTGACATTTTTTATCTATATGTGTGGCCAATGCTTAGAAACTGCCTAAGCTAAACTAATTTCTATTACTCTTATAGCGTTTTCGATTGGTAAATCTAGGTTAATTTTTTCAATCGAAATGCTCCTTTAAAAAATTTTCAGTGTAATTTTATTTTCAATTGAATCTGGGGCAAAATGCAAACACTCTAGACATTTTGTCAGAGTTGCAAGATTACTCTGAAATAACAGCTGTTTTATATGATTTGATGTATAGAGTGTGATTTGATTCGACATAGTCTACATTTATGAACAATTTTATTATCTACTAACACTACTGCAAAAATGTTCGATTCCGATTGGACAACTAAATTTGACAGATCGAGTGTAAATCTGGATTGAATTCAGCTACCATTAAAATAACAAATAAATAAGTATTTATTATTTGTATGTATATATATATATAATATATATATATATAAATATATTATTAATAAGTTCCTTTAAATTTATAAATGTGGAATCGCTTAACTATGGGCGTAATGACTATCTGATTAACAATTTATATGAAAATTTTATCAATCTTATATTTGAATTATTTACTTAAATGTAGTATATACTATTTAAAGCAAATGAAAATCATAAATTTTTGTTGATTGCATTGAAATGAGAGAGAACACGAATTACCTCTCTCTTTCAACTTCTTTGTTCTAACATACTATTAACAAAGCTAGGCAATTAATATTATTTTCTAGTTAGTTACGGGTAGTTAATTATTAATATAAGATTATATTATTAATACATTTACACTTGAATGTTGGTGACTTTGAAATTTGAAAACCTGTTTAGTTTATTAAAAATGTATTAAGTTTTTTTCATGTGAAACAATAATAAAATGTATAGATATACTATACAGTTATAGTTACCTTAATTATAGTAAGATAGTTAGCTATACTAAAGTAGCTATACGAGTACTCATTTCCTTTTCAAACCAGTTGCAACAAAACAAATATCATGTTCTACAAACAAGGGTATATAAATGTCAAGCAGTTGTAGAACTTTATAAAAAATCGAGGGCTTCGATTATACTGATTGCAATAGAGTTTACGCAAAAATTAGGTTAAGTTGGATTGGAGCGGCGATCTTGTAAGAATACGCAAGAAAAAAAAATTTGACGAATTATCCGTCTTTATAATAATCTTTGTATTATGTTGTTTTAATCTGTTCAATTAGTTTTTCAATTCATTTTTAATGCAACATTAGTTAGTTGTGGTGGAGAGAGGACGAATCCTCCTTAAATAGCAAAGGATGAATGCCGCAAAAACCTCGTAATAATGGGTAGTAGATAGAGGGTCAAACTAGAACCAACCAGAGGCATTAACAAAGGCAAGAATCTGGCTAATGCTGATACTGGAGATATCGCTAAGTGAGTTGAAGAAAGGGGCCTCTAGAAACTTAAACCTAGTTCTGGCCAGACCTGGACACATCAGGTGTTCTGGTGTCATTTCTTCAAGTATTGGTAGACACGCACTACATGAGGTACCACAGGGAAGGCCAAGTCTAGCTCCATGCTGTCCTATGGACCAGTGGCCCGTAAAGACAGATATTAGCTTAGAAACCTCAGCTTTGTTTCTACACATTAAGTCAGAGGTTCTATATTTGGAATAGATGGGCCAAGTAGCCCTTGACCTGGCTGCTGAGACAGTAAGGGTCCACTCACTATTTGCCTGTCGCAAAAAATAGTCACAAATCAGCCTACGCCCGTAGCTGACAGGGCCTGCCCTGATCGAAATAGGGGTATCAGTGGAAGAGGCGCCTAGCCTAGCAATCTCGTCAGCGCGCTCATTTCCCACAATATTAGAATGCCCGGGAATCCATACTAGAGTAACCTTGGACCTCTCACTTAGTTCACTGATGATTAAAAGCAAAATTATTATAGTTAAATTTAATTAATTCTTTAAAATATTATTGATTAGTTTTCTAATGTTTGTTTCTTTAATTAATTTTTAAAGACAGTAAGTAAGAACCATGCATTTCATTACAGTCCTCTTCTTCTAAAGTACATTATGTTACACTATATTATTTCCATTTTATTATTTATATTACACTATACGACAAGCTGAAGGATTTAATAATTGATGACACGTACTATTGTCTATATTAACTCTTATAAGAAAGTAAGTATTACTGAGTTATGCCTATTTTATGAAAGCTACTTTGACGTATCTAGCAACCCGAACGGATGGGCCCAGAAGTTTTATTTTTTTATTTCTCAAAAAATAATTAAAATATGTATAATGCCAAACTCTGAACTATTTTCAATAATCATTACATTTCTGCTTTAAAGCGTTTTTCACATAGTGGCACAAATGGGCACCTTTCACATTTTAGGTAACAGCCCTATAGGCATCCAGGTATAATATAGGTATAATAATATTTTAAATACAAAGTACATCAATATTTATGTTATATGTAGTTAATGAAGTGTTTACCTAATTTAAACATATTGGATAAAAATTTATTGATCCATAAAGTGCTGGTAAGGCAGCCATAAATGTTGCCATAAAATTTAGTAAGCCAATAATTTTATGACTTTTGGTTTGCATATTATGATAATAAATGTGTTACAAAATTTATAATTTTGTAGTAGAAAGACGGTTTAACTCAACTATTCGAAATCTATAAAACAAAAAGCTAAAAGTGAATATTTTGCAATATTAAAAGCGATTTATACATCACAGCAGGCATTTCAGTAAAAATGTTGTTCTTAAAAAAATTTATTTATTTTTTTCTTAACTATTGCATTATCTGCAGTGCTCATGAGTCTCGAAGAAATACGAGTATAGGAAACATCGATAACTTACTTGACGCCATTCATATAGAAGAACGTTTTGAAACTTTGATAGTTCTACGACAAATCAAGGAAGAGTGCTTAGCTAATATCCTGTCGAATGGTCTTATTAAACCATATACGAGTTTAATTTTCACAATTTCACAGAATTTGACACAAAGTTTAATAAATAATTTTAATAAAAATATTTTAATTGTTATGTGTATACAAAAACGAATCAATTTGGTGCACATAAGAAACCTAGCCCTTTTCTTGCAACGTAGAAGAAACTCAAAAATACTCTTCCTATTGCAAAACTTCACTAGAAGGACAACAGAAATGAAGAGACTATTTCGGTTTTGTGGAAAACAAAGATTACTAAACGCTTTGGCTATCTTTGATGATTTTGAACAAGGTGGTGAGGTATACAGTTACACTTTATTTCCAAAATTTTCCATAGAAAATAATTATGAGATGACGCGCTTTTATGTTAATCGGTTAGATAATGTTTATGGTTTTCGAATGTTAAGTATGTTGATACAAATGGAAGAACCCAGGAATATACATTGGGGTGAAGGTGGAAGAGTTTTTAATGGAGGACATATTTATCATCTAGTAACAGGTTTTGCGCAAAAAATAAATGCTACACTACATCATAAATATATAATAAATATTAATGAATTAAGTGAATGTGATAATTTAGCTAAATTAACAAAAGAAGGTAAATTAGATATTCCAATGTGCTTAACATCACCAATAGTAAATATGACAATGGACACATTTACGGATATTGTGGAAATTGTGAACTGGATGCCAATGTTGCCAAGACTAACTAATGTTGAGAAATATAGCATTTATGCCAATATATATCAGTGGCATATTTGTTTAACTGAAATGTTCATACTTTACTGCTTTTCTATATTACACACTTTGGCGGTTAAAATGTTATCACAGAAAAAACCAATTTATTGGTTAGATATACTGCTTAATGATAGAATAATACGTGGACAACTTGGTCAGCCTTTCAATTTGATAAAGAAACTTAACTTTATTTTATATCTTATATATATATTACTCTTCTGGAAAGGTGTCACTTTTAATTCAAACATAGCCATTTTACTCAGCACTTACTTTACACAACCACCGATTACTTCACAGATTAATAGCTTTGATGACTTAAGATCCAGTGGCTTAAAGGTACTTATGCCGGCAACCGAATATAAAATATTAAAGCACATAAATACAGAAGTTTTTTTTAAAAAATATTATGGATTAATACGTAAAGTCTCTAAATTGA